GAAAATGTGCTTAATTATCATAATAATAAAAGAATCTTAATGGTCATTATTTCTGTCTTATAATTTTAGAGTGAAATGTGACCCAAACATGTTCTTGCCAGTTCAAAACTAACCTCACATGGTGATCAGGTCAGATGTAGTGTATTTAAGGTAAATAACGCAGCTCAAAATGTAGACTGATATATAATGTGCTGAAACGTTTCTATGTGAGGCATGGGACAGTGTAACATTTCCATCTCAGCACTCCCCCGCTCACTCAAGCTTCTCCATTTCAGCTAGAGTCGAAGCTCAATGAGTTGCATGCAGCGCAGTATATACACTCACAGTTTGGCCTACCACACTGGAAACCCTCAGATGCTGTATTATATGCTGTGAAGTATGAAAAGGTGATGTTTGTGTGTGTGTGTGTGTGTGTGTGTGTTACTTAACCTCTAGACTCATACCCTGTCTTTTATTTCTCCTCCTCTGGGCTACGTCCGCTAGAGAAATCCACACCTGGAGAACTCTAAGTGTGGGGTATTGTATGTTTAATTCTAGCCACAGTACGCATCCTAAGCCCATTCACACACCATTTACTTTTATTTGATACAATTTGTGTCATGTTATACACTTTTATTTATTTTTTTATAGTTGTTTTTTTTCATTCACATTTTGGCACATGCACGGAAACTATCATCTTGATTTGTTTGTATTAGTGATTAAATAAAGCTGTGTTCCCAAACCTGATGAGCTGCCTTGCTGCCTACTGCCTACTTAGCCACCTGCTGTCTTAAAGAATGGACTTATTTGGAGTGCTGTACATATGCAGAAACTATAAATAAATAAAAACTTGTATATTAACTCATAGCTCACATAATGTGAGACATAACTTATTTTAGGAGAATTTACCATGCAATACTCTAATAAGCATAACATTAGCACAATATTGAGTCAAATTTAAGCATATTAATAGATTTTTATTGCATTGTCAAGTTTAGGATTGCATTGAATGTATCATTATTTTCAATGTCATGATCTCAGTGAAAGAAATAAAAACAAAATGATGATAAAATCGACTATGCCAAAAAAATATTGATTATTATTAGCATATAAATACATCAAATAAATATATATATGAAAAATATATGAATATGAAGGTATACATCATGATAATGGTAGTGTGCTAATGTATGCTGAATTTAATTTAAAAGTGGTTGTATTGCAGTATACAGTACATTAAATGTAATCCCAAAATACATTATGATCTCAGTAAAAATAAATAAATAAATGAAATTTCCAATGCAAGATGAATAATAGTGAATATTAAAAATCATTGTATTTCAGTATACATTCAAAGCAATCCCTAAATGCATAATGAGATCAGTGAAAAAAATGAATCAGACTGGAATAGACGACAGAAGAAACATTTTGAAGAGAAGGATACATCAAGGATTGGTTAAAAGCAAGGAATCTTACAAGGCAGCATCTGTTGAGCGTCTATGATGCCTTAAAATGCTGTCTCTGTTGGCAGTTTACTAGGTTTTGGAACAGAGCAATAGTGGTTATTGGTGTTAATTGTGAAAGTATTACGCTTTTGCTCGCTATCAGTGTGGTCTGTGTTTAATGTGCTTTTTTCTGCATTCTCACTCTTATTTTTTAATTGCTTGTTGTTGTGCATTGTCACTGTTAAATGTTAGAGAAATCTGCAGTGATTTGTGCCGGGAAATTTAAGGGCGGTTCAAATGTCACTACATTACCATATTAAATTTCCACAGCGAATCCCGTTGCCTGTTAGATCACTTTCTCATAAATAGCATTAGCATATGTCCCATGGTGCAACAACTACAGTAAAAAGGGCACTTCATTCGCTCAGAGAGTGGCTTCAAATGACACTTTATACTGCAATCTGGGATAGCTGGTAATTATTCCTCTTTAATACTGTCACAACCCTGCCTCGTGTGCCACACTACGCCGTTAAGCTAATATGTTATGTTCATGAAGGCAAAGGGTGATTACACCCACGCCAAGACACCTACACAACCAACTGTATAGAGGATTTAGCTTAAAGCTCCGAGGTTGCCAGGTCTTTTCTGTAATCTTACCAAATCCACACAACTGCAGCATTACTGAGAACACATTATAATGTCAGTGCTTAAGGTCGTTTGGCTTTAATTACAGAGGGCATCAGTAAGAGGTAAACGATTTATGGTTTATGGTACGTTTTCGCATCGGAATTGCATAGGCTGTAAAGTAACTCTTCAGAGTATGGAACTAGAAACCGATGCGTTGTGGGTTTTCTTTTCAGCCTGTTAAATAGAATGTTGTAGCACCATAAATCGATATTAAAAAAGGTCTCTTTGAAATCCTTAAACATAACAGCACTGAAATATTCATAGCAAAATTCCATAAGCTGACATGCATCAGCCCCTTTTAATAGCAATTTGTATTTCAAGGTACTGATGTGGAAGCACTGACTTGTTGGAAATTCTTATTCATCATTAAAGGGGTCATAAACTTTTGTATTTTATTTTATTTTGTGGTCTGTTTATCATGTAGCCCCTGTTTTTAATTTTCCTGAAAAACAATGATTATGTGGCAAATTTTTACTAAAAGATTTAAATGTCCAGTTTTTTGTCTTTCAGTAACATCACCTTTACAGACTCTTTGTGACAGATCCATAAAACGGTCCATGCTGAAATGATCTGCCGCTGTTCCACATGAACGGTTAAAATACCTTGTTAAAAATAAACCTTCCTAATGTTGGGATCGTTCGTTTGCATAGAATCCTAAAAGATGGAGGTAGATTTGACTTTTCATCACATGAACTCTTAAAATACCTTCAATCAGATATCCTGGTTTTGGATCCATTTTGCTTTTTAACATGAAGCCAGAAGTGCATACGTGAATTTATCTGATTCCAGATCAGAGCTCCAATGCTAAGAGATCTTATGAGGTGTAGGTATATTATGTGAAATATAGTGGCTTATGATTGGCCCTGCTGATAATAGTCGGATGTGATGATTCAGTGTGTAATCATAGGCATAGGCAGCACAGCTATTACACAAAGTGTTGGTCTATTTCTCCCTCAGTCAGCATTACGATAGAGCGATGAGGGAGTCGATCTTGGACAGAGTTCGTTCGGACACTACTCAGTCCCAGACCATTAAACACACATACGCACACACACCGAAAGATTGCAGTATGGCCCTGCACTCAACACACGGCAGTGAAGCTCTTGGTTTCGATCGATGACAGACCTAGACTTAAAGCAATTTGACATAAATAATAGATTATCTCTATAGGAGGGCAATGTTATAGAATAACACATAGAGAGAGAGAGACAGAAAGAGATAATTTAGTAAAATGGTTCATATGAAAGTATCATATTTTTTTTCTATATAATACAATCAGTTATGTGTTCAATTTTATTATTTGAAGTATCTTGGAGTGCCATGCAAATACAGACATAAATTGTTACTATATTCAGGTACATATTACGGCAGTAATTTTGTTTTGGACATTTACAAAGTGTTAAATCATGTTTTTGCACATGTACCATGGTAGTTCTATTATATTCTTGGAGTTATTATTGGAGTGCCATGTAAATATGTGAGCATCAAGTACTGTAGTATATAGCAGTGTTGGGAAGGTTACTTTGGAAATGTAATAGGTTACAGATTACAAAATAATAGGTTACCCTATTTAAAATGTAATAGTAGTGTAATTTTTCAATTACTTTATTAAAGTAATGTAACTGATTACTTTTGATTACTTTTCTAAATTTCTAATGAATGTTTATTTGCAACTGTTAATCATTTTCAAACATTTACACCATGCAGGGTTAACCTTACAGTAGTGCTCAACACTGTCAGACTTTCAATATCCTTCATCACTTGAATTAAGATGATCAAATTTGAACACATCCACCACAAAATCAGACTTTAGTACCGCCTTTTACTTTGAGATTGATCTGAAGTTCAGTGCAGATTTAAAATCATAAGAAATAGTTAATATAAGAAATAGTTAATAGATAAGAAATCTTTGCATAACTACAGGAAACACTGCATCTAACAATGGTTTGGAAAAAAATTGTTATTTAAAAAATAATTATTATTAAAAGCATATACATCAACTCCAAATTCCGGTTATCAAATAAGCATATGTCCTATTCTGTGTACTAAACTCCTGAAACATTGGTGTCTCTTTGAAACATTGGTGTCTCTTTGTATATATGATGATAGCTTTCTCAAAATAAGTAAAATGCTTATGAAGTGACTCAGAGCAGTTCTAGAGATTATGTTTATGTGTTCATGTACTCATATATATTGAGAGGGCTGAAACGACCACGAGCGATACACATGCACGCTTAAATGAAA